GTTCCACCAGGACCATCAATGAAAAAAGCTCCTGATTTATTGGAATATACTCTTTCAAGAATTATGTCATATGTCCTTTTTTGTTCAACATTTAATTTGCTTTGTAGATGTATATCTTCTTCAGAGACTATTATATTTGTTTCGAAATATATTTCTTTGGCATCATTTGTTGTTTTACAGAAGCTAACATTTCCAAATATATCTTTGAATTCATTTATGTTATGTCCCATTGAAAGTAGAACTTCATTGATATGATTTAAAACTAATTGGTGGATATCTTTTTTTGTAATAGTTGAAATAATTTTAAAATCTTCTGACATACAGTCTTCATATTTTTTCCAAAGTTCTTTTGGGTTACCAGGATTACAATAAACTAATAATGTTGCAAATAATCTTCTTAAACTATAAGGCATTTGATAGCTTACATCTTCAGACAAACACTCAATTAAGCTGTTATCAAAATGTAATAAGCCTTTTTTTTCTGCAGCTTCTCTAAATGTAGCGTAGCATTTTCCATCGATTGTACGTAGATCTTCGTAGGATTTTGGTCTTCTTATGTTCATTAGAAGCAACCTAAGATAATATCTTTCTCCTTCGGTTGGATGACATGTGACAATACGTCCAATAGTAAAGCGTTGTTTTCGACGTGACCACATTTTGTATGATGATGACCATACAAAGTGTTGGGGAAACTCTTTATATAGTAAATTAAGATTCATAGCATCGTTATTCATTTTGATCATACGAAAAAATTCTGTTAACATCGTTTTCTTTATCATTGGATTGTTTATTATTTGATCGATAGTTTGGTTTTTTTTAAAGAAACAAATTGTTGTCCATCAAGATGCAACTGTAATTGGCAAACACTTGGAGTCATTTCACTTATTGAAAAAGCAAACAGACGCCACGCAGCTTCTGGAGGAGAAACCCATCTAGCAGATTGGTATTCTTTGATTTCATCTATTTCTACATTAGTGTCATTATTATGCACAAAGAATGCAATTTTGTCATGTCCTTTGCAAATATATTTGTAAAATGTATTTTGATAACCTTAATGTCAGAACATATTTCAACATTAATATGACAACCGAATTTCTTGAGTAAAAATGGATTGTACGGGACAATCCAAGAATTATCAATGTTGTGTCCTCTAAACTTTGATTGGTGTGATCATTTTTGGTCTTTTGTAAAGTAGGATACGAATTCTTTCCTTTGGTTGTTTGTTCAGTAAGTTGTTTTGGATATTTAAACTTACATTTTCCTTCTTTTTGCATGCAAGAATTTGAAGGCTTTAAATAGCCACAAGGACCATGGATCATGTGCTTGGTCACAAGTTTGTGTAGATTGATGATCAATATGAGGATCAGGTAATTCAGCGCATACAATTTTATCATATGATTGTGGTGTTAGCAATTTATATCCATCCATAAGTATAATGAGAAAATGGGCATGTGGAAGACCTCGTTTTTGAAACTCAATTGTATACATAAAAAGCTGCAATCTTTCCAAATATGTTGGTTTTTTGAATATTTGTTTTAAGTTCTTCAACTTTTGCTCTGAATACTCTACTAACTAAATCAGGTCTATTTTGAACTTCTTCCATTGACTGTAAATGTTCTTGTATTTCAGGCCAATAAGGATTACAAGTCATCGTCAAAAATATGTCTGGTTTTCCAAAATGTTGTACCAAAGCAATGGCATCCATATATCTTCGACGCATATCTCTTGGGCCTCCTATGAAACTACCAGGAAGGAATTTTTGTCTGCCAATATTGGAAGCATCTCTTTCTCCTTGCCTCAATAAATCAATAATTCCTTGAAAGGCTTCAACTCTAAATAGATCCTGATTAAATGAAAACAAAATCTAATCTTTGTGTCTCAAGTTTGATATATTGGTCAACTATGTATTGTTGAAATACCCTTCCAGAATGTAAAGTGTCATTTGGTTCTTCATCTCTATTTGAATTTTATAACAATAATATTCACGACAAGAAACAGTTTCTCTTTTTCTTAATCCTTTTGATAAAACTGTAGACTCAATGTGAAGGAGTGTATCAATAGAAGCGATGTTTTTTATACTTGGTAGTTGCTCAGATTCACAAGAAATTTGGTTTTTCGAATAATTATATGTGTTGTTGATTTTTTTAATACCACAATGCCAGCCATTTTGACCATAAGGAAACAAAAGTGGATATTGCAATGGGTCATAACATCCGTAATAATAATTGACTAATTCGCTTTTGTTACTATGAGTGTAAATTCGAATATGTGGTGTGAGAATTTTATCATTATTTGATCTTCAATCCAAATTGCGCCAACTTCAGATGCAGTTGGTAAGTTATATGTTCTTTGGTCTAAATTGGAACTTGAGTTTAGAGCAATGTAAAATTCAGATAAATTTGGAACAACTGTTAACGACCTAAGAAAAGTAGAATAAGGATTAAGTTTGAGCATATCCATGAGTTTTGTAACAATTAGCTCGTTAAGATTATCTGATAATGTCATTCGATTTGTTAGCTCATTTTCATTATCATAGAAATATAATTGTAAATTTTTTGCTTTTCCTGTTGAGGGTATCAAATCATCAATGAAGTGATACATTTGTCCTTGAACCTTAAATGTATATATGCCACGATTTCTCTTTGCTAATTCTTTATCATAACGTACTCCAAGTGAAGTGAAGGCAAACATATTATTGTAGGCTCTACTATAAGTGCGAAAATGTTGACATTCTTTGGAGTCAACCAGGAACAAATTTCGCAACTCAGTAGGCATCCTATGAGAAGTTAGTCTAATTGATCCATTATCACAACAAAAACCTGGTGATTCATATTGAAACCTTTTTGCTACACAAAATTTGCAATTTGGAACTTTCTTTAAAAGCAAGTAATCTTTTGGCACTAAATTATCATTTTGTAGATTGATTTCTAAATTATTTCTACCTGTGCAAGGTAAAAAGCAATTATTTGTTACATATAAAGTGAAAAGAAGACATTGTTTTTAATGATTTTGGGGAAAAGAAGCATACCTTTATTTGGAGAATGTGTTGAAGGTAATTTGCTTGCAACATGACATGCAGCTGATGTTGATCCTAGTATGAGGAATAGAAATATTTACAGATAGCTAGGTAATTATGAAAAATGAACAGACTCAAAATAGTTGAAGTACTATTTTTGAACTGACCTAGTTCAAAGCTAGATAAGCAACCGACCATATGTTCTCCTCTAGTTGAAGTACCTGGTACGTTTGTAGTTAGTTGAAGTGTGTAACTATAGCTCTAGATATTTACAACAGAGATTTAACAAAAGGAAGAAATGAATATGCTTAGCTAACATTGCTGAGGAGATAATGAAGAAGTCGTAATTGTAAGAGCAGCAATACTATTTGATTGATGAAGGTTTTTTTGTCTTTTTGATTCAGCCCTTTTTTCTCTTAGCTGGGATAGAAGTGATTCTTTACTCTCCGGTGACATTTGTGCATATCTAGTACGTCGGCACAAATTTCTATCAGAAGTTGGTTCCTGGGTAGGCACATTATCTCTATTTTCTTCTATTCCTGTTTGAAGTAATTGATCATTTCTATTTGACCGAATGGAAATATTTACAGATAGCTAGGTAATTATTAGAAATGAATATAGGGGAAATAGGTGAAGCAATATCTATGAACTGACCTTGTTTGAAGGTAGATAAGCAAGTAACTATATCGTCTCTTCTACTTGAAGTGGATGGTACATTTGTAGGTTTGGAAGCTGCAACAACAAAATGAGGAAAGTAAATCTATTAAGAGTAGGTCAGTTGAAGCGTGTAACTATAGCTATAGATATTTAAAAGATAGTTTTGGCAGAAGGAACATAAGAATATGCATAGCTAACCTTGTTGAGGAGATAATGAAGAAGTGGTAATTGTAAGAGCAGCAGTACTATTGGATTGGTGAAGGGTTTTTTGTCTTTTTGATTCAGCCCTTTTTGCTCTTAGCTGGGATAAAAATAACTGTTTTCTGTCCGGTGATATTTGCGCATATCTAGTACGTCGACGCAAATTTTTGTCTGAAGTTGTTTGTTGGGTAGGCAGATTATTTGGATTTTCTTCCATTCCTATTTGAAGGTGGTGATGATTTGTTAAAAAAAATTAGAATGTAATGTAATGTAGCAAATATACATAGAAGTGACCAAAAAAACCCATGTGCCAGCATGAGCGTAATATGGAGTAATGACAAACATCATATAAGCATTATAATATTTTGATGGAAGACATAACATTGTATTTTAGAATAAATGTAAGAGAAGTTATTTAACAGAAGATGTTTTCACAGTTTGAATTGTGTTTGGTAGTTCAAAAGGCATATGAAGAACTTTATGTTGCTGCGAAGGATGAATCTATTCGTATTATTGTGCTGGACAGTTTTGATCACTGGAAGAATGGGAATGGAAAACATAACTTCGTTTGCTTGTCTTGCACCATCATTAAAGCAAGATAATTATTGCAAATATTTAATCATGTTTACATTTGGGAAAATTGAAATAATTAGTTCATCAATGAGTTAAAGTAAAGAAAAAGTAATATTGTATACCTAAGGAAATTGCAGAAACCATATTTGCTATGTAACTATACCTACATAGCACCATGATGTGACTATAAAATATAAGCTAAAGGACATTTTTCATGTGGCAACAGACTGATATTGACATTAAGGTAATTCACCCAACTCATTAATGCAACAGACTGATATTGACACTAAGGTAAACAAAAAGATAAAGATTGTGGCAGCATAAGCAAATGTGACTTTTATGGTAGGTATAAATCATGAGAGATGTTATACTAATAGCTATAAAGAATTTCTACAGTGTTGATAAAATTAGCTGTTCAAATGTAAGTTCAAAAACATTGTTACCTGAACTGGATTTCTGTTTTCTGTGTTTTTGGGAGAGCTTTGAACAAGCAGAAACAGCAGATTTAGTAATTTCCTGTGAACAAACAAATCAGCCAATAAATTAATAAGTTTCATAGTAGTTTGTGTACAATTTGAAGAGGTTTATTAGATAAGACCATAAAGAATTGCGTGGAATGAAACGGAGAAGGGAGGAATGAGTTAAATATTCGGAAGAAAGCTGACATTACGTACAACTGGGAGAAACAAAGGTCCTAAAGCTGCTGTATTCGTTTGCAGAGGAAGGCAGAAAAAGTGGACAGGGAAGTTACAACCAATTACAAATTAAACTGTGTGTTCCTTTTAAGTGTGTCTTTTCATTTGCAGATGCTCATATATACACATGACTATTTGACTACTATAAGTGTTTAATGCACAAATTTGTTTATCAAAGCTGTGAAGAAGAAGCTACATCAGCAGAGTTGAAGTGATTGAGGTTTGAGCAGAAACATTTGGTGTCATACTACTAAATGTGCAAGTCTGTTGTATAGCCAATTTATCATTTGAAGGCTCCATTTGCTATTGATGTTACATTCGGTTTTTTTTTTTTTTAACTATCTTCTATTAGCGGCTAATGTTAGAGCCAAATTATCGTAGCTTGTTTAAGCGTACAACTGAAAATGCGGGCAACATCCAGATTTGTGGGGCCAGCGGTAAAATGATTCCATTCCCAAATGGAACGGAACAAAGAGCCATGAATAGAAGGCATTATATTTTTGGTTATACATGCAAGAATAAGCCAAATCCATAAAGCCTAAAATTGAAGAGTTTGTGGCAAATGTTTGCCTGTAAGCTGCTCTTCTATCGACAACTTATATAGAAGTGATACCGAGGATGAACAGTTTTAGCAAACACTTTGTTTGCATGTTAAATTCAGTGGTCTACCTCATTGTTAACCGCGAAACAGGTCAAAGCAGCGGAAGTAAAGCTACTGCGAAAATGAAAGTAAGGGAAACTATTACCAAAGAAATCTCCCTAGCTGCACTGCTTCTTTTTGTTATTTACTTTTTTCGCTGTTATGTAAGTATAATATGTATTTGGATTTTATATTGTAAAGATATTTAATTGTGAAGGAAGAAATAATAAGCGAATGAAACAAAGTAATGATAAGCTTAGAAGCAAGTATTTCCCTACAATGCTAGGCCTAGCAGTTAATGAGTTTGAATAGTCATTAACAATTTGGACTATCCTGGAAAAGAGAAAGTCAGACAAACTTTAAACGATAATTAAAACAATTGAATGAAAAGTGATGCACAAAGAGTGGAAACTAAATCAGCAAGAGAAGTAGTAAATTAGCAGAAGAAAGGAAGTACTATAAATTGGTGGTAGTAGAATTATGAGAGACTTTCCTACTGGAGTGAATACTACCAATGGGCGAGATAACAATTCTGACTGTATTTGAATTTTTTTTGTTAGAGGCAAAGTAAAATATGAGAGAATAGCTGGTGGTTGTATCAAATTGTATAGATCATGGGCGAAGACACATAAGATACCTGCGATCACGTGTGGGATGTATGTGAATGTTGTGGAGTGGCTAGCCTGTATATAGAGTTTGCGTGGGGAAGTTGAAGCAATCCCTGTAAGCTGGTGATAATGAAGAGGCTCCTGCAGACCCTGCTTAGGAGCATTCAATTTAAGGGAATTGAACATGAACGAAGTTACAACTACACATGGAACAACTGAAACGAAGTATTAAATATATTACATGAAATATTTGGAGCAGGTAATGATTTTTAATACCCACTGACAATTTGTAGTATCCTGAAAACCGGAAAATTGAATAAAGGCGAAACGATAATTAAAAGAGTTGAAGTAAAAGTCATGTGCAACCACCGGTAAGTAAATTAATAACAGAAGTACTAAATTAGGAGTAGAAATGAAGCAGGAAAAATTCATCCTAGTACCATTATGAGAGAGTTTCCTACTGCACTCAATAGTACAAATGGTTAAGATAAGAATTCTGACTGTGTTGCAGATTTTTTTTGTTACAGGTGAAGTAGAATATGAGAGAATACCTCGTGGGTGTATAAAAGCGTATAGATGATGGGACAAAACATATAAGGCACCTGCAATCACGCCTGCGATGTCTCTGAATCTGGTGGAGTGGCTAGCATGTATATACAGATTGGGTCAACATTTGAACCAATCCCTCTAAGGTGGCGATAATGAAGAGGCTGCTGCGAAGCCAGCAGGCTGTTCTGTATCACTGGTATTTCTAGCGTTGAGTTGCAGCCAATTACCTGTGAAATAAAGTGAGTATTTACGAATATTTAATTTCAGGAAATTCAATATGAAATAAGTTACAAATACATATGGGACAAATGGAAAGAATCATTAATTATATTACATGAAATATTTTCTTTGGTTTTGTTAAGGAATTTGTTTGGACAAGTATTTAGGGAAAAAAAGGCAAAGACATATAGAAGCTCTGAATACCGAACATGCGGGGATACAACATATGTGACAAATGACAGTATGTTTAACCAGGGAAATTGAGGTGGCATTCTTGGTATAATGTGATTGAACCAGCAGAAATATTCCATCCAAATAGTCTAACCTATTGATGAAACGAATTGAAGCGGGTAACATCAGAAGAACAATGTAGAGCAGGTAATACATTCCCATCCTGTTAAGCACGGGGAATATTGACACACAGTAAGTACAAAAGATGTAACACTTTCATCTTCTATAATAGATTTTTGCAACAAACAATCTATCTACTTGTCCCAAATATTTGTCAAACATTTTATTTTGACATGCGTCTCTCTGTCGAGTTTATCTGTAAATATGCAGGTCGAATTTATCAAGAAAAATGTAACTTAATTAACAGATACTTTAACAATTATCAGCAGTGTTAACTACATATTGACAAATTTAATGTAAAATTGTTATGACCAAGTAGGGACTGTGGTGGTTCGATGGTGACGACAGTGCAACAGACCAATGCATGCAATTATTGAGCAGAAGTTTGCAGCACACACATAGATAGAGTATAATATGGCTTAATATGCTCCACAAAAGAGAAATTAGGAATCGGAGAAAGAGGAAAACAGAAGACAAATTAGGAATAGGAGAAAGAGCAAATGATGGAGCAAACCTGTAAATTTCACTTAAAGGAGGAAGAAATACCTGCGCAGGTCTTCCGAAACAAAGAGAAATGTTGACGAAAGCTTCACAGACAGATTTTAACTCTGCAGACAAACAGAAAACACTAAGCAGCAGATGGATTCGCCATTGAAGAGGTCAGAAGTAGAAGGAAGAGTTGACAGAATACAGCGAGTTTACCAAGGAGGACAGAAACTTAAAGCATGAAGAAGCAGCTGCGCAGCTCGTCGGAAACAACCAGAGATCTTTAGGAAAGCTTGAGAGACAGCTTTAAAGTGTGTAGACAAACAGCAAAAAGTAAGGAGCAGACGGATTCACCATTGAAGAGATGAGAAGTAGAAGGAAGAGTTGAGAGAATAGTCGGACTTTACGAAGGAGGCGACAATTAGGGTTAGAAATTGGTCAGGTATAGCAAGAAAGTTCTAGAGAAAGTGGTTTTATTTATTATATTGATGTACAATTAGTACTACCATTAGTACAATACAAAGATGTAGTGTTGGTCCTTTCTAAAATGTACAATTAGTACTGCGTTTAGTACAATCAAATAATGCAGTGTTGATCCTTTTTAAGTCTCACTTCTAAATAAGGGTAATATATAAAAGGTTAAATATGTAGACTGACACGTCCTTTAATTTGACATCAAAAGCATGCAAAGATGTTGACTATATTAAATACCCTTTCATGCATGAGAACAGTAACATCTTTACATTCGTTTGGAATAGGATCTAAACCAGGTTATTCTTAGATTCTAGGAAAAGAAATATTGTCGGCTCCGTTCATTTTTATTTGTTCAGTATATTAAAAATAATTGTTTGATTTAATTTGTCAGTTTAGAAAATCAAGAAACAATTTATCATTTTGTACATATTTACCTTTGCTATTGAGTATTATTATTATTCATTTTCAGCATTTAGATGACTTATAATTAATAGAAGTGACATAAAATTATGTTTCTGTTTATTGTTTCTTAAAAAGTACACAAGTAAGTAAAGATAGACAAAAAAGGTAAAAAAACAATATATTATTCATAGGCCATCTTACGAAATTGATTTCTTAAATAGTTATTCAACTAGTAAAAATAAATTAGCAAAGTTATTTCGTTATATCACAAAAGTTACTCATCTTTGAGACTTTGACAATTTTAATCACAAGCTACCGTCTTTTTGTTTTGCGTATAAAACACTTATCTTTGTTGTTAAATTAGATTTGAACCTAACTCACACCTCAAAAGTTAGCTTAAAAGAAAGAGGATTGCTCAAGTATTATAAAAAGCCCAGAATTTCATTCATTATCCCTCCACGCCCAGATCCAAACATTCTTTTATGTATCGGTGGTTCCCATTGTTTGGCCTGGTGCGTGCACGTTTATGGACCGGAGCTATTTCCATCTTGTGCCAAGTTTCCAAGGTGGCATACTATGTTAAATTAGGTTGAGCCTAGCTCACCCTATATCTATCTCAAAAGTTAGCTTAAACTTTATTATAAGGAGCCCAAGATTCCGTTCATTTATCAAAATGGGACACTCAGTACTCGACTCGTAAAATCTCTTTTTATACTAAATAATTATATAAAAAAAGTTCCAAAATTACAGACTTGTTACGTGCAATTGTTTTTTGGTTTCTTAAATTCATTTAGCTACAATTCATTTTCGAATTTTACTGCTAACAGAAGAAATCCACTAATTGAAGATAAATGACCCAATTTAAATTAGATCAATATTAGCAAGCTATTTTATATTATATAATTCGTTCATATAATATTATAATATAACCACGTGACTAATTATATAGGAATAATTAATTAAGATACGATCATATGATCAATACTTGAGACTATGCTTGACAACAATATCCATGTCACTCTCTGCATAAATTACTAAAATATTATTTTTAGAAAAATACATGTAATATTAATAAGCTAATTAATTATATTCTCAAAGTCCCTAAGTTGGACTAAACACGTTGGGTCTATTCTAGATTCACCATTGTCAAGAATCTCTAATAATTTATGCTGCTGGAGCATAATCATAATCTCCATCATCGTCATCTCCTTCCAAAGATGTTGCAGGAGCATAATCATAGTCTCCGTCATCATCATCTCCATTCAAGGATGCTACAGGAGCATAATCATAATCTCCATCATCGTCATCTCCTTCTAAGTATGCTGTAGGAGCATAGTCATAATCACCATCGTCATCTCCATCTGAATATGACCTTCTGTTCTGAAACCCGATAATCTTAAAAATGCTAGACATTCTAAGTAAATATAAGATATTGGATGTTGTATATATGATCTCTTTGATATGGAAAATGAAGAATTAATGTTTTAATTTTGTGGTGTGAATAGGTGAGGTAACCATATGCTTATATAAAGAAAAGAGACTAGTGTGGACTCATTTTGACACATTAGAAAGTGTGTGTTACATGAGGAATGTGCACAACCATAAGTTGGCTCAATTTAAGCTACTTTTGGAGTTGCCACATCCAAAATTCACTTTACATGTCAATTATTATTATATATAATATATACACACAAATGTGCTTTAAAGATTATTCTTTATATTTCTTGGTTGTGGAGATGGAATATAAACAATCAAAATCCATTAAAAGTAGCATAAATTTTAAAAATAAATTAATCATAATCCTTGTTGCTATCTTTTCGATTTCATAACGCAGTCTATTCGCCACAAAAACAGAATAAGAGAGGTTAAAGTAAAGTCTTTTGAAATAGGTGCAACTTGCTATAAAAATTAAAAATGTGCATGCCACATGGAAGTTTGTAGTAATATCTATCTATGTGCATGGATGCTTAGTTGGCATGCCACCTAGACAGGGTTGAGCTAACCTTGTTCGAGCGATATCTTTTCATCGAAATGTTATGTTGTATAGATAGGTTATATATATATATATATATTAATGTTGACACTATTTCATCATACAAGGTGAATAGTTAGTGAAACGGTTGAGGGGGTGTAAAAGGGTTTTTTACTTCAACAGTTTTTTCTCTATTTTTTTGAGTGTTTACTAGTTTATATTTTGACACCATTTAATAAAAATCGTGATTCCGCGCTACTGAGGGGTTAGATTATAGAAAGAATATGTCCTTTGATGGAAAATGTAAAAATGTCGACACTAATTCGTTTATTGCATGAATAATGCTAAAGAAGAAGCTTAAAGTTTAGTGGCACTTGCCAATGCTTTATTTCCTCATTACATCTTGAACAAACAATTGATTTTAGCAGGTTCAAATGTTTAAAGTTTTATGTAAATGATAAGGAATTTTTTGATGCGTCGATGAGTTCTAATATTGAAAAATTGACTTTTCTTACATTACCTATTAACATTAATGTCAAGCAACTATACGTTGATGATAATAGTACACTTCTCTCCAAATAGATTTACTAACTCACAAGATGAGGACGATATCTTTGAGGAAGGCGAGGAAGAAAATATGTTGGATATTCAGTATTTTGCAAATGTAATTAGGGATGCAGATATTTCTTTTAGATAACAACGTAATAATAAAAAGAAGCATGAAAGAAAGAATAATTGGGATAATTTAATTAGATAACTAAGGAGTTTGTTCCACGATAATAATCAATGAAAATTATATTTAATGAAAGTATACAAAAAAAATTACGCTATCTATGTATACGTATAACTTAAGTAATGTTTACAAGGAGATGAAAAAAAATATTTTTTCTAGGTTACATTTGAAGTTATGATAAATATAAGGGAAAATTACTTATATACACATATATACTTACCTTAATATCCATTTATCCCTACTTTTTTTAAAAAATTTAAAAATCCCTTAGTTTCCCCAATTAATGAAATCTTCCGGATACATAAAGATTTCACTCCTTTTTTCAGCCAACACCCACATTTCCCACTACCCATTTCACTCCTCCATTTTATCCCTAAATTGTCTCCACTTCTTTAGCAGTTACAAATTTCAAATTCATTTTGACTTTCAGAAGGAGTCTCTCTCAAGTTTATCAGTTTCAAAGTTTCGAATAGGTAGGAATTTTATTCTCCATTGTTGTCTTCTTCGTGTTTTTTACTAATACATATGGATCAGGGTCCATCATTTAGTATTGGTGTTTCTCAAATAAATTCTACTAATGCTAATCGTACATATGATTCTGACGATGAAATGTGGGCTTGAAAACAGATCCAAGCTATTGCATGACACATTAGCGATGAAGGACAAGAGCGTTGTCAATTCAAAAACAAAGGTTGGAGAAACCCCCCAAAAAAGGGGAAGAAAAGCGGCATCTGTCATTTTCCGACCCACACTTCCTAGGGTATGTGTTTACACAAAATTTAATATTTTTTTGGCTTTGTTATGGAGTTGGTTGTGTTTGGACAGAAATAATTTGATACATTAATAGTGAAGATACATTACCTCTCAATTCAATGTTTTCATAGTCGTTTAGACAATTATTGATTTGTAATCGATTAATTTTGTGTTTTGCTAATACATTAAAACCCTAATTTTATGTTACATTGATGCATGTGGTCTGTTGGGTCAAATTAAGAGTCCTTTAACAATGAAGATACATTTTTTACAATTCAATGTTAGGGTAGTATGCTGCTGATTTTGTTTTTTCCTTATACATTAGAACCCCAAATTTTTAGCACTGTATTGTATAGGTTCAATTTTTAAATGTATCTCAGATTCATTAATGTTTTCCATTGATATATCTTCAATCATCTTATTCTTAGCTTCTAGGAAAAGAAATATTGTAGGCTCCGTTTATTTTTATTTGTTCAGTATATTAAAAATAATTGTTTGATTTAATTTGTCAGTTTAGAAAATTAAGAAATAATTTATCATTTTATATCTATTTTACCTTTGCTATTGAGTATTATTATTCATTTTTCAACATTTAGGTGACTTATAATTAATAGGAGTGATATAATAAAATTATGTTTCTCTTTATTGTTTCTTAAAAAGTACACTAGTAAAGATGGACAGAAAGAGTAAAAAATAATTTATTATTCATAGGTCATCTTATGAAATTGATTTCTTAAATAGATAATCAACTCGTAAATATAAATTAGCAAAGTTATTTCTTTATAGCAGAAAAGTTACCCATCTTTGACTATTTTAATCACAAGCTAAGGTCTTTTTATTCGGTGTATAAAACACTTATTTTTGTTGTTAAATTAGATTTGAACCTAACTCACACCTCAAAAGTTAGCTTAAAAGAAAGAGGATTGTTCAAGTATTATAAGAAGCCCAGAATTTCATTCATTACCCCTCCACGCCCAGATCCGGACATTCTTTTATATATCGGTGGTTTCCATTGTTTGGCCTGGTGCGTGCACGTTTATAGACCGGAGCTATTTCCATCCAGTGCCAATTCCCAAGGGGGCCACTTGTGTTTGGCTCGTATACTATGTTAAATTAAGTTTGAGCCTAGCTCACCCTATACCTATCTCAAAAGTTAGCTTAAACTTTATTATAAGGAGCCCAAGATTCCGTTCATTTGTCAAAATGGAACACTCAGTACTCGACTCGTAAAATCTCTTTATATACTAAATAA